GGCGCTCTGCGGGGTGGGAGCACCCGAGGTGCCCGGCGGCCCGGGGTGGGGGGCGCTCTCTGGGGGGAGGGAACCCGAGGTGCTGGGTTGGGGGGCGACCGCGGGCTCCGGGGTGGTGGTGGGGACGTGCTCTCTCGCCCCCCCACCCCCGCACACATTGTGATACAATTCCGGAAACTAGCTGCGAGTGAGGAGCTTCAAAACGATTTCGTAAGTGGAAATTGGTGAGAAATAGCCCTGCTGTAGTGCGTGAGGCGGGATTCGAACCCAGGGCGGTGGAGGGCCGGTTCTTTCCTCGCGGGGTGCAGGTCCTGCTCCCCGGCAGCTCGGTCCGCGGCGGCGGGGTCGGGGGGGGGGGGGTTGTCTGCCCTGCGGGGCGGCCGCCCACCCCTGATTCTCTCTCCCCCCCTCGCTTCCTGTCTCCAGGATTCAGAAGGAGCTGGCGGACATCACTTTAGACCCTCCACCCAACTGCAGGTGAGCTCCCTTTACATTTTTTTTTCTGTTTAAACGTTTAGGTTTTTTGTTTTTGTCATTATAAATTTTTGCTTCTGTTCTTTGGTTAATGCTTGTTTGGGTGCTGACATAAAGTTAACAGCTGAAATTGAATAACCTGAGTGTAACGTTTTGATGAGCGTCTGACCATGAGTCTCATGTCGAAGAGAAGTGGTGGATTTATTTGGAGTGGACCCTTGTACGTATGTGTAAAGTGAATTCAAAGATGTATGATCGCCTGGTCAGGGATCTTTGATAGGTCATTAAGGACGATGTAAAACCTTTTAGATGCTTAGGTACATTTTAGTTTAGAAAATTGCTTTGCTGTCTTAATCTGTTATTCATGCTCTCTACTAAGCTGATAGGGCATAGAGTTAAATCAAGCACTGGATCCTCAAACTTCTATAAATTTTGTTGGACTTTGGGCAGACCTATTCAGGACATAATTTGTGGCTTTGATAAAAAGGTTTTGCCTTAAATTATTGTATAGATTTAAACTCTTCCATGGGGCTATTTTTCCTCGAAATTGCTTTACTCAGACTGTATACATAATGTGTGTTTCAGTTTCAAAACAATTTGATACCAGCTTTTGAAGGATTTGGTGATGACTTGATTTTATTTAAAATAGCCATTTGGTTACTGTTGAGTCAAGGTGGAAGACTTGATGATTTTACTAAATCAACAATGAAGTGAGGAGGGACTTAAATTACAACAGAGCCGTTTGAGAGAGATTAATTGTTCCATTCTATTACTCCCATAGTTTTAAAATTAAGTATAACAGTTAATCTAATTCTCAGTTCTCAGGATTGTTATTGGAATGGGATGTGAGGTTTCAGAAGTGTCCTAAACTTGTAGAGGTAGAGGAAGAATTTGTTACCCACAAGAAAATATTCAGTGGCTTTACACAGAATTTAAAGGGAGCCTGTGGAAATATTCAGGAATATTGAAAAGCGAAATGAAATATTTTGCTTATGAACACTGAACTTTCTAAACTGTGGTTAATGGAGTAAATGGAAGCTTTAATACTGCCATTTTGGTAACGTGTTCTTAATGTTGGTCAGATGTGGGATGTTCTTTAGTAAAATTTTGTCCCTGTTTTGTAAGGAAGGTATGTCATTTTGAGTTTGACATGCTCTTAAACTATAGTTTGTAACCAGTTAATCGTTCTGGAGGATTTCTCATGGCTGTTAAGAATCTTTTCAGACTGTTGTCCTGAACAGTGGAGAAATGGGTCAGGCTTAGGGCTGGGATGGTTTCGTTTTTCATTTTAGTGGCATCGTTGTTCCGACGGAGGCCTGGAGCTTCCCTTGGTTGGTTGTGTTGAATCCATGGGCTTTCCCCATGGTAGATCTGCGCTGTGTACTTATTGCCCCTGTCTGGTATGACGTCTCTTCCATGTGTCTCTTGTGAGTTCAGACAGCTTTAGCTGGTCCAGTTATCAAGTTTTTAAAGCATGGTTTCAAAACTTATGACATGTATCAAGGCATAAATGACTTTCTTATAAGTGCAATGAAATTTAAAATTGTAAGCAATTTGAAGGTTTTCATGGAATTAATCACTTTTTAAAAAATCGGATAAGTATACTTTTATTTCATACCATTTTAGCTGAGTTCACATGTGAGAGATTTGTGCTGCTGAACATGTAGAACTTCTTATCCTTGGAAAACCCTCCTAATTACCGCTTCAAGGTGAAACCTCTGACCATCCCCTGTGGGTCAGGCGAAGCACCAAACTGGATGGATATTGGGTGCGGGGGCGGGGGGGGGGAGACAAACTTCGACATACTTAAAACATTTTGAAAAAGTATCTCTGATTTCAGAGAGAACACCAGGCATTTTTATTTTGCGAGAGAAGCGTGTGTTATGTAGACTTTTAAAAGTAAAAACTGCTTTATTTTCTGAAGACATGCTTCAGTAGGGCTGCTTAAGTAATATGAACGGCAGTTTCTACTTTTGGTTGGCTTACTAGCGTTACTGACAGAATGTTATGCAGTAACCCCGATATTCAGCTAACTTAGATGAGTTTGGTTTTATGTTTTGTATTGGTACCTTATAGGATGGAGTTATTTACTGTTTTAATGTACATTGTTTCAGATGGAAATGGGTAATTTGCGGATACTTTTTGAAGTTAGCTTCCAATTAAAATGTGAATTAAGTGATCTGTTGAATGTATGCATTTTTTTATACTTAATGTTATTCTACGTGAAAGCTTGGTTCTTATGAAGTTGTAATTTCACCAATTGTAAATTATATTTTGAATGAGTTAAATAATTAGCTTTCAATTAACGTGTTTTATACACTAAGTTTTGTAGAACTGCCTTTCTTCAGTCAGTATTCAGTGTGTGGTTTTAAATTTAAACACATTACTTTATTAAAATACAGCAGTGGACACACAGGAACCTCTCAATAAACCATTGATTGTTGCGAATCAATGGGAGAGTGCCTTTTCCTGCAGGTGTACTGGATGTGTTCAGTAACTTTAGCACTTGGCAAAAATATTTGAATTCGAAGTTACTGAACTTCAAAACTTGTGTGAAATGCAATTTCTAAAAGAGTTATAATGTATGAGCACATCAAGTTAAATCCTCAGTGTTTTATATTACGTCGAGTAGATTTTTTTAGAACAAAATGTGGAATATATTCAATGACGAGGTCAGAAGTATTTTAAGTGAATTTTAAAAGTTGCTGTATATTGCCATTTAAGTCACATTCCTTGGTATCTCTGGACTGTTTGGTTATATTTATATGTACAGATGTAATAGTCTCTCAACTCATGTACCATGCTTTTCGTTGTTAGGCTTTTTTCCCTGCATTTTGACTCTTAATCATTTAGGAAAAAGATGCTATCTTAATTACTGTAATGATTTCCTACAGCATTGGATTGCAAAATTATGCCTTTTAGATAGCTGGTGAACTCTGGGCCACTACAGTCAGTTTTGTAGCTATTATTTATAGCCTGGGGCTCAAGCTTTGCTTAATTGACTAGTTATAGCTATGTAACTAACCTGTAGCCATAAATGTCTGTAGGCAGTATGTCTGCACATAATAAATGACACATTTTGCCCAAGTCCTAATAGATTTCACCTAATAGATATATTGGAATTATGAGTAAATGCTCACTTAGTGCCTCGAAACCTAAAAATTAAGATTGGGAGGGGGTTCTGCTTAGGACAAAGTGTCTTCAAGAAGTCATTAAACACTTCGAGCATGGTGGAGAATAATAAAAGTAAGATTTCCTTTTATATGACTTTATTACATTTTGACCATTATTTTTCTGTTTCCTAAATATATAAATCTAACTAAGTCAATGCTTTTTATTTTGGGGGGAGAACTAGAATGTAATCAGATATAGTTGGTTTAAAAGTTTTACAGCTAAGTCGCCCATTTTTGAAGATCATGTAAAGGTTCACATGAAGAGCATTAAAAAAGAATGTCAAGCAGTTGTCTAAGAAGCTTTTTCTCAACCATCTTTTCCTCATTTACTAAAAGGGCTGAATACCTGGCTGGCCTACCTCATAGCATTGTAAAGTTCAAATGAGATTAGAGTTTTCTGACTGTGTTAGATGGTGACATTGTTCGAACTGCCCATTTAGCTCTTTTTAATAGCTCATCTTTTTCCCTAACGTTGCCTTTTATTGCTTGTATTTTAAATACAATTTTAGGCCATTACACAGTTATGATATAAGAATGTGTGTTTTTGAAAAGCTGAAATGCAGAAGTTGTGGAGTAAAAAGTGGAAGGATCCCTCTCATGTCCTCTTCTGACCCTGCCCCTTGCACAGAGATGCTCCAAGTTAGCACAGATCGTTTCTGTGAATTTACATTGTCGTATTTTGTGGTTTTATAAAACCTCCTGGCATTGGTGGTAATAATCATGAGATGTCAGTTTAGAAATCCCAGGCTGCTAACCTTGGAGTGAAAAGAGATGATCCTTTTCTCACAACAGTAAAGGCTTATACATCTCGGCCAAGTTTAGCATGTTTTGTGTGCTTGTTTGGGTTTAAGAAGTGGGTTCAGCAG